CAGGAATGGAGTGCTCTCTCTGCCTGTATCATCCAGAACCCTAAATTATTTCAGGGCAAGATCCAATAAGAATCCCAGGTTGCATGGTAGAGGTGAACGAGCTGTTACAGAGAGAAATGAATAAGTCACACATGGACATCTCGTATTTGCATGCCCAACTAAGTGTCATTTGGGATGCTCTAGGGATCCTACCCGACCATCACCTACCTGGCTCCAACACAAATCTCTGCTGATACACTGTGGAAGCCTTTATTCTCTAAAAGTGTCTTAGCACAAGATGCCTATGATCAGGCAACTCCACTGAGATCATGGAGGAACCTCCATACTTCAGAGGTCTATAAATTAAGATTGAAGGAACTACAGCTATGAACTACCATCTCTCTCTTCTCTTCTCCCCTTCCAGATGTTACTCCATCTCCTTCAGTCTATAGGTTGACCTCTAAACATGATGAAGGTTTGGAAATGTGCCTTATCACAGATTACTCCCCTGAAAAGCTTACTTCTACCATGACTGAAGGGAAGACAGATGCTGTTGTCGAGATGGTAACATCTGAGAACAAACAGGAAGCAAGCTACTTGTCAACCTACTGGGCCAAGAAAAATGAAATGCAGTGCGGTGCAAAGCACGAGGGGTTTGGAGACCTGGAAGGCAAGGATCCTGAAAGTGGTAATGTCGTTGTCATATGTATGCATGGGGCTAGGGATGATCTGGTCTCTGTGCAATTAGTATGAGCAAGTCTCACAAACCCTGTAGGCAATGCTGAACTATGTTCTCTCATAGAGCAGAAATGTTGTCTTGTTGCTTCTAAAAGGTTTTATTTCCCCTCTTCCTCAGTGGAAACACAAGTAAGGGTTAGTAGGCTGGTACAGTCACAGGAGAGAGATCTCAGAATCACACTGTGGAGGATATAAAGCTTGAAGTTGCTTTGTTTGATGCAGCACTAGTGCTTGATTAGATCTGATCCTAGGCTTGCCCAGAAAATAGCAGAAATAAGTGTTTATTTGGAGGTGGTAATGGCCAGAGTCTCTAACCCAGCCCTTCTAAGTAGAGACATCTTTATGAACTTTTGACAAAGTCCATTACTAATATCAATTAACTTTGTTGTTACTATCTGCAGGTGCCAGCACTATCTGTGTAACAGGGGTGTCTCAACACTTCAGGACAGGTATGAACAAAGCATTTTAGGAATAAAGTTTGGCCTGATTAGACTAGAAGTCTTCCTATTTTGGCTAATGTTCCCTTGCCCTCCCAATTTGCAGAATTCCTGTTGCAGCAAAAAGCTGCTCAGATTGTGAATTTCCAAAGGGGTACCACTGGATTTAAACATCAAGGCTGGAAGTCATTTGGTTTAACGTGGACTTCCAGATCTGAGCTGGTCATTTGATGTGACCACTGTAGTCAGTGGATATATATTCTAGCTAGGTCTTACCAAATAACCACTCCCTACCCTATAAACTTCCGTAAAATGATTTAAGGTACAGATTTAAGGCAGCTTCAGTGAATGTCTGCATTTCAGACTTCAAAAGAGCTATTTTTATTTTTGAGTGCACAAATACCTAATGAACCAAAAGATAAGCAGGTGGTTTCTGCTGTGTGGGTTCAGAAGCAATGCTGCAATAAAAACAAGCTGCATCTGAGCCAAGCTTATTCAGCTTGTTGTGGTTGTGGGCATGTATTAGCTAGTGCTGAAGGCCAAGCAATTGCTGTTCCCACTAGTTCAAAGCAGCCGGGCCTGCCTGTGCCTTAGCCCTGTTTGCAGAATAGCTGTACTTTTGCAGACCTGAGGTCTTGCTGAAAAGAAATGAGATAGACAAATATTTCCAAAATCCCACTTCAGAAAAACATTCATCAGTAAACTTCGTTGACTCAACCAATCATTTCAGAGAGACATTTTCAAAGCTATACATAAAGTGTTTTTTTGATAAACACTCTCCCCTTCCCAAATACAGATCGATATATTTTTGGATGAAAATGGCTTTATAATGAAGACAAACATAACAACCAAACAGACTTTATGTTTTTTGAATAACATTTACGTTCCTTTCCCCCTGACCCTCTTAAAAAAATATATGGGGAAAGGGAGGAGGGACTTTTCCTTCCAGCAACTTTGTTTCATAGCACATTGCTTTTAGCAATAGCTAGATGATTGGCATACTTGCCTATTGGAAAATCAAATGGTTATTGGATGAAAATATGGCCCTTGAGACATGGACTGGAAGCAATGACAGTCTCCCACTGAGAGAGTCCTGCTAACTGACCCTTTAGCTATTCTAATAAATAATTCTCTCACACAAAGTGGAACAGCTTCATTAAAAAGCACTATTAAATCTGCTTAGAAGTTAGAACGTCTCTGTTCTCTGGTGACTTTCATTCTCTGTTGCTTTTACAGATGAGAAGCTGAACCTGCTGTCATTCTCACAGCTGGGCCTGAAAATAATTTTAATGAAGGGAATAATTTTTAATGTGCTGATAACGATGCTTATGTGGAAAAAAAAGTGAGTGTTCACGGAGGATGGTGAGGCCTCTGAAGGAAAATGTTTGGATCAATGCATTAGCTATGAGGGATACACCACTCTGCTTATGCAGTTTGTTCATGGACCATTTACCTACCACCAGTTCAGTCCCTCCACTCCTTTGCAGATCTTTGCTTGGCCATGTAATTCTTTTCTCCACCCCCCAAGTATATTTCTATTTACCCCTCTACACACAAATTTAACTTTTTCTTCTTTCTATGCAGATGTCCCTCCTATTCCTACTTCCTTCCCTTGTCTGCCCTCATCCATCAGATTCATTCCCTGATCAGTCTCCAGCCAGGAAAGTTTGATGCTCCTTGGCTTTAAGAACTCACACCCAGTACATTAGTTTTGGTGCAGTGTCCCTTTCTCCTCTTTCTATTGCCTAGACACATCCAGTCTATGATTATTTGTGTGACTGTAACTCAAATCATGGTTTAAGAAACTATTATTTTTGTTTCAGGAATGAAAGCAACTAGATAGCACAGACCTGAAGTACCATAAAAGTCTGCTGAGGTATCTTTGCTGGCGCCTCATGTGCAAGAAGGAAGAAACGAATTTCTATTGGGACAGATATCACTTGCTGTTTCTGTATATCATGCTAGCCATTATATGCTAAGTTGCTTTATTTGCATTATTACAAAGCTACTCAAAAAATGAGCTTAAATTCTCAGAATTCTGCTCTGCCACATGCCTGAATCATTTAGCATAACAATTTTTCGTGAAGCATAGATTGCTACTAATCGATGAATTATAGATTGTCAAGCATCCCTGCTACTTGCATTAAAATGACATGTACAATTTCTGCTTGGGGAGTGTTGTTGAAAGCTGCAAGCTGAATATCCGTTGAGTGTGAATTTTTCATATTTCGATAGCTTTCATGTATGCATATCTTAGGATGGATACTTCCTGACCTTCCTCCCTCCTATTTCAGTTGCGAATTAAAAACTCTGAAAAACAAAGGAAGTCTCATTCAGGGTGCTGTGCATTGTATATTGCTGTCTTTTGCTAGATCAGAGAAGGACGTCTTCTTTTCTGTAAAAGATATGCTGCTAGATCCCCCAGGAGTGCAGAACTCAGTGGAATTCTCACTTCATTATCACAGAAGAAAAAAATGCTCTTTAATATTTTTTTAATCTGTTCTTCCTTAACATGTCCTTCATTTCCACCAGCTTAAGATTTGGCTTTGCCTTTACTACAAACTACTTTTGTTCTTTTTCTTTAGGTCTAATAAGCTTAGATTTCCTATTTTTTTAAACTATTATATAAAACAATACTGAAATACCTACCTCTTTGTGTGTGTGAGCTCCTTAGAAATAACGCATTCATGTGAAATTTGCATGCTGCTAAGTCTTGCATTTTACTGCCAGTCACTCTGATGTACTGACATTTCTTCAAGTCTTTGGCAGCTGTTAAAACAATTCTTATCAATAATAGGAAACCTGCTTGTCTTTTGTATATCTAATTTGAGGAACTTGTTTTTCCCTTCAGATGAGCTTTAGAAGTGATCCTGGCCTTTAGGATGAAGAAAGGAAGGGGTATCAGCAGGGACAGAATGTAACTTTTCCTTTCAGTCTGACTTGCCTACAGGGCACTGTTTATGATGATTGGCTTGTTCCACTTCGGGGAGAATGGCTACAAACTCTCTTTTCTCCCCCAGTCAGACACACTTTCTGACCGTATTCGGGGGTAGGACAGCTTGGCTGGCTTGGAGGGAGGGAGAATGGAGCAAAGCATGTCTCCTCCAGGAGTGCTATGTGAAAGAAAGTATGAAACACGGCTTGACCACAGTGAGTGGATGAGGAAGTGATCCAGGTTCTTAAAGGCAGATGTCCAGTGCTATGGGAGATTAGAAGCCTGTTGTATCCTGCCTCTAGCTGTTCCCCATTCACAAGCTTCACTGGGGAACAAGGTGCCTTCTTGGTATTAATGACACCAAACTGACTGGCCTATGTCTCAAGGTCCAGCCTGTTACTGAGGAGGTGAGAAAGGCATTTTCTCCTTTTGTGACAACTGTTTCTATGTCCTTTTGAAGCACCAGAGATTTCTCTGGAGGAAGAGATGAGAAGGATGCTCCGAGGGAAACATACTCTCTCAGCAAGACTCAAACCTCACTTGTACCTTCACACCAGTGCCCAAATTAAGTGGCAGGGAAAAACTCGCCAGACTAGTAGGGATGTTTCTCTTTCACAGGCTATTTCTCATCCTACTGGATTTACAGCCATTGAAAAAGCCTCTGATTTTAGAAAGGCTCGTGCCTCAAATGCTTTTAATCAAAAGTCCCGGTGCTTCATGTGGGAGAGCTTCTCTGTGTGCAGCCATTGCACAGTGCATGCTAAGGTCCCTGTCACAAGATAAAGAGTCCACAGTACTGAAGGGCACAAGATCGAAATCTCCCTGATCTTGTATAATGCTGTTGCCACCTGACCATTAAGTAGGTGGCCCGTCACAGAGTGATAGAAGGTTACTGACCCCTCCTGCCCAGGAACAACTTCCAGGTCTATTGCTGTCATTAGCTTAGCACAGATTACTTGGATTAGCTTAGCACAGATGCTAAGGGATTCATTCTCCTACCTCATCCTTGACAGAACAGCCACTCTCATTTTTCCCCAGCTGTAGAAAGCCAATGGGTATTTAAACTCCTAAATTCCAGTCAGCAGATGCTCTTGAAGCTGCAATTGTCATTAGGGCTGCTGCATCACGGAGAAAGAGAACTTAGTGAGGCTGCCTAGACTGTTTTTGACTTATAAGGCAGTATCAGTCCCACTTTCACACATTCCCAACTGATTAAACTTGCTTTAAAAACTTCAGGGATGTGCAAGAGCAGTTTCCATATTCCCTTACCTTTTGATATATCTCGTTAATTGTTATCCATGCTAAATCTTTTCTGTTGCATTTCAAACCCACTTCTAGCTGCAGGGTCAAGGAGGACTGTTTGCTACCTACCTGTTTACACGTCTCAATCTTTTCTCCTCCAGGGTAAATGCCCCCAACTATAAGATTGGCTGAGTGAGGGGATGATAAATAAAGTTAAATGTGTCAACTGAAATGAACATTAGCATGTAATCTCCATGACACTGAATTTGTAGGTCTAGTTTGAAGATACTTTCAAATCTTGAGGTTTCAATCTCTCATCACCATCATTCGTGACTCCATTTCCCCTTTGTGCTTTCTTGTTTATTTCAAAAGAGAGAAAAACCGCAGTGAAAAATGAGGGCAGGAAATAACAAAGTAGGACAGGAAGCAGAACGGGTCTCATGGCCCAGGCGGTGAAGGGAAAAGGATACATAATCAGTTCCATGACGACACAGTCGAGATCTGGGTCACCTTGTTCCCCTGCACCCTATCGCAGAAACCACTTCCTCCAGAAAGTGGAGCACAAAAATATAGAGAAGAGAGAGTAGGGCTGGTATGGCACGTGGCAGGGAGGCGGAGAAGCGTGCAGGAGAAGAGAGCAGACGTTAGACCACAAGCCAAAGTGAAACGGGGGTTAAGATACCCTCCCTTCCTGTCCTCTCACCACAGCTTAATCTTGAGTGGGGGGAGTTGTTGTGGGCAGAACAGCAAAGATTGAGCCATGTATAGTGTAGGTGGGGGAAAGAAGAGTAAAAGAGAAATTGAAAAGAGTGTTGGGTGGCAGGGAAGAAGAACTTAGCAGCATATAAGATTTCTGCATTTGCTGATAGGTCTATGCTGGAAAATCCTTCTGCTTCTCTCTCTTTCAAAAGGGAAAGGAAGAAGCAGCAACATACCAGTCATCTCTCATACTGGCAGGGAAAATGTTGCCATGGTCCACCTTGTCCACCTGTCCCCTCTGCCAGTTCCTGCCCCTAATAGCTAACTGTGAGCTGGAGATGAATTTGCATCTTTTGTAGGGGCTTTGTTGGAGAAAACACCCTGCCCTGCCTTTGTTACCCCTTATTACACATGGCCTTGTCCAAGAAACAGCCTCTCATCCTCTTCCCATGAACAGGGACCCTACAATGGTCTTTCTAAGGAGCAGAGTCTGAAGATCCCTATAGATTTGTTGAAGCTCATTAAGGTGTGGAAGTACCTCTAGTAAGACCTGAAATCTTAGGCTGAGGTTATGGGAACCAGAGGCACTGAAAGTCAGTAAAAATCACAAAAACAAAGCCATTCAGAACGTACATAATTCTTGTTTCACGTGCTTCTGTGCAGTTCTTCCAAGTGGCCACAGGAAGCCTCTAAGGTTCTCTCTAAAGCAAAAGGACAGGGTAGACTGAGCTAGACAAACCCACAAGGAGGCACTCACAGCTTATGAACAGCAGCGGGAGCAATGGCAAAGGGGAGACCCTGCGTGTGTTCCTCCTCCTGTGAACAAGTTAGCTCAGTTTGTCACCAGTCTGGCTCGTGAAGGGCTCTTCTTATCGGGAAAAGCAGCTCATTTACTATTTCTGCCTGCTGTCCAATCCCATCCCTGCTACCCTTCAGCACCCTAACACCACTCAGAGCTCGTACTTTCATGCTGCTTAATGGCCTGAGGGAGCTAAGAGCTGGCACAAGTTCTCTGTTCCCAGCATAGATCAGGACAGAATCCTTCAAGAAAAGGGAAAGCCCTGTGCCCTCAAACCTTACTCTTCAGAGCCTATATTAGGCCAGGGACTTAGAAGCCCCAGGTTTCAAGCTTTTATGGATTTAACGGCTGCAGCACAGCCAGAAGTGCAAGAAAGAAGAGAGGTGGTTAAACAAGAGCCATAACCCAGTGCTGAGAGGCTGAAGCTACTGGACCTCATGTTTTATTTTGTGGGTCTCAGTAGATAAGAATTTTTGTGTGTCATAACCTGAATACACATTTTATCTATCCAGTATTTCAACTGTAGAACAAACTAGACAAGTGTGAAGCAGGATCAGCACAAGGATGGAGCCCCACACCTTAAAGTAATCCAGATTAACTCTGCAGCTGAAGCTGGGGAGGTTGTAGTTGGCAGCACATAATATTCCATCCTGTGCCCATAATCTGATCCTTACAGGGCTCTAATTTTCTTGTCAGGGCAAAGACGCAATGGGCCTCAACACGGAAGTCAGCCTTGGCTCGAGAAGGCAAAGGCCAAGAGCCAGATCCATCGAGTTTAGGCATTTCATCATCCCTTACAGAGAAAGGATTTTCAGGAAGCTTTAGTCTGAGGAGTGGCCTTCTTCAGAGGGCTGGAACAGCTCAAGTGCAGCTCTGCCCAACGCACTGGCACAGCTTGTCAGCTCTTTTCACTGGGGTTTATCAGCGCTTCCGGCCGTACAAAAGCTAACATTGCTCAAGTGGCTGTATCACTACCAGGTCATAGAGAGGCTGTAAGACCAGGATGGCAAATATACCTTTGAGGGACATGGGAGGCGTTGGGGGAGAAGACAGATAATGTTGGGGAGGTGCTAAAGGACTACCTTGGCTCCCTTCCATTCATGACCGCTAACCACAGTCTAAAACAAGTTTTCCACAGCTTTGAAACCAGGGGGGGGCGTTGGCAAGATGCTTTCCACGAGATAAAGGGGCATGAAACTCTGAGGTGAAAAGTACGGTTGACATTTGAGTTTCCATGGCAACTTGTTTCCTGCTTCCCCCTAAAACTGGGGCACTGAAAAAAAAGCCAGCTGGGTAGAAAGGCGAAGGAGGAGGCGGTGAAAGCAGGGAGTCGTAGCTGAAGGGACCTTGAGAGTCAGGAGAACCTCTGTATCTGTCATCAGTAGAGAAGAGACAGAAGTATTATGAAGGGCTTTATTGAAGGAAAGGATTACAGTAACTGGAATGAGGCAGAAGACCCTTCCATAGGACAGTCTGTGGGAAAAATCTTGACCCCTGCTTCCCCTTCTCTCACCAAGAAAGTAGCTAAGAGTCTGCTGGGGAAAAGCACTTCCCAGTGTGAGGCTTTGGCATCAGAGCATTAGAGGAATTCGAGACCTGGAAAGAGAGAAAGATAGCATGAAGAAAGTTTCTGCAATGGGAGAGGAAATACCCCTCAAGCTCCAGTGATCTTGTGGCCTCTTGGAGCAGTAAAAACAGAGTACATGCTCAACTTTCTAGCCTCAAACTCTCCCTGTCCCAAATTCCCTTCACTCATCTGCTGAGAACCTTCAGGTTTGGACATCAGCCATACCATGGTGTCCAGGTAGGATCCACCCTCATGGACAGAACCCTGGAGTCCTAGCTCCAAAAGCTTCTCTTTCAAAGGAAAAAGAGGAATTTCTCTTCTCAGAAACGTGTAGGTTTCTTTAACACAATTGTTAACCTGTCCTGTAAATGATAAAACCCCCAAAATACACATACTAAACCAAAAAGCTCTAAATTCAAGTCCTAAATCAACCTTGAGGACAATGACTTAACTGCATTTGGCCAAGAGGGAGCTGGGAGCTAGGACTCCTGGATTCTCTGTCTTTCTAATCTAAAGCACTAACGCGGTGTGAGCTGAGGCTGCCCGTGCCATGGCCCCATGGGTCATTACCTCACAGTCTCTTCTAGAGCTCAGCCAACAAAATTGATAACGACAAGATGCAGGATGGTGTTGGCAAAGAGGAAATCGGCAAACGCCCGCTCCGGTGAAATGCCTTGGAACTCGCCTTTATTCTGGGGATTGATCTGGATCCGGAGGCACACTGTATGGCAAGGAGAGAAAATGATATTAGTCATCAGAAAAGAAAGCCATGGCAGGAAGCAAGGCCTTGCTGGGGCAGTCCACCACAGGCTGGATCACTGTTCCACCAGCATACTAAAGGAAAAGATGACTCTACTTTTGTTACAGGATGAGCAGGACACAGGCTCTGGATATGCATGGGGCTGATATAAGATCAGCTCTCCCAGACCACTACAGCATAAGGGGTGGCCAAGTGGGTCCTGAAGGGAACAGGCTTACAATGAGCTGGCAGCCATGGATACAATTGTGTGTTAAGTAGGGCAGTGAGGCAACAATATAGTTTTGTACATATTATGGAAGAGCGACATCCTGAAACATTGTTGCCAGGGGTTGGGGTCACCATGGGATGGTTGCTAAAGAACAACACCAACACCAGATGGTAACTGGGAGGAGTCCTTCAAGCAGGGACACTCTGGAATTGCTAAGAAAACACTGGGATTGATAAGAGGGCAGGTTTTGTGGTGTGTTTTGGGCAGCACCCAGCAGGTCCACAGCATCTCTGGAACATCCTGCTAAGGAACAAGCTGAGGCTGGTATGATTTGTCCTACAGCTGCTAGGCAATGTCTCATGGTTGCTAGGGGGTCACAGCTCAGGGGTGTTCTGCAGTGGCCAGAAACTGAGCAGTTACTAGAGGACAACCTTTGAGGTTGCTACAATGCAGAGATCTGCATGTAGAACTTGATGTTCTAAGGTTATTAAGGCTGCTACACAGCTGTGAGCTCTAGAAGTAGCTAGAGCTGGTTCTCTGTTTGCTAGAGTGATTTCATGGCTGCTACAGCAATTCCCTCGTTGGCAGAAAAGGTTTCGGATTGCTGGAGTTCCTCAATACCTAAAAGGACTCTGTGGTTGCCAGAAGTTCTGAGGGTTGCTAAAAAGGTTTTACACGATTGCTAAAGGAGATTTCCTGGTTGCCAGGAAAGGTTTCAGGGCCGCCAAGGCTATTCCCAAGTAGTTAAAGGCATTCACTGATTGTCAAGAATGGTTTAGGGAGTCACTAATGGTATTTCACAGTTACTAAGGGGATTCCACGGTTGTCAAGGAAGGTTTGGGCATTGCTAAGGATGTTCCCTAGTCGCCATGAAGAGTTAGGTTATTGCTGGGGGGATACTCTGATCGCCAGGGCAACATGGACGTTGCCGGGGTTCCACGGTTGCTACAGAAGGCTCGAGCACTGCTGAGGGAAGTCGGCAACCGCTAAACGGATTCTGCGGTTACCAGGAAGGGCCGCGCGGGGGGCGGGGGCAAAAGGGTGAATGGCCTGGCGCACTGACCGCCGAGGATGAAGCTGCCGACGGCAGAGATGAAGCCGCTGAGGAAGGAGTTGAAGGGGAAGGTACCGACGCCGAGGCAGTAGCCGAACTGGAGCGCCCCGGTAAGCAGCACGTACAGCAGGTAGGCGTCCAGCACTTTAAGGCGGCTCGGCGTGCCGCTACCGTACTCCACCAGGAACCGCCGCACCACTGAGCCGACCGAACCCGCAGCCCCCGCGCCGGAACCGGAGCCTTTTTTTCCCCCCATTCACTGTTGTGCAGGCGTACTTTCCATGCCAGGAAAAGGGCGAAACTCTGGGACACCGCCTACCATTATACGCATGCGCGCAATCACGTGCTGGCGGGGAGAGGCGGAACTGGGCTCTCACAAGCGCATGCGCCCAAGGGTTGTTGCGCCGCGCTGCCCTGCTTTTCCCGAGGGCTGGTGAGAGCCAAGCGGCGGGGGTTGCTGGGTTGGTTAGGGAGACTGGCCCCCTTGTCCGCGTGCGCGCATTCCGCAACACAGGCGTGTCGCGATAGCGCGAACGCTGGTGTCGTGACACGAAGGCGCCAGCAGAACTGTAATGCGTTCACCCAAGTGTCCCCACGCCTTCCCACCCCTAGAATTGCACCCCTGAGAAGCCTCTGACCACCAGCAAGCACACTTGACCTCCCAGCATCAGGCAGGCCAAAAATCCAGTCATAAATCCCATATGCCGTGGGTCATCGGTAGCCCGGGGACAGTCATCAGCACCGTCACTTGGAGGGACAGGGGTGTCTTGCTGACTCTTAGGGGCAGTTACTGCTCTACAAGAGGCATTTGGGATGCTGACGACTCTGTTTGTGGGCACATATATTCAGTGGAACGTGGGGAGCAGCTGGGCCCATTCTCCCCATGGAGGGAGCAGTCTGGACCTGGGTGTTTTGGGGCAATGCTGACTTTAGGAGGGGGGTGTTGCAATCCTGGTGCTGTTCCTGCATGTGAGGCGTCGCACACATGACTTCTGGCAGGTTTTTGGAGTATCTCATGCGGACAGCAGGAACCATAACAGGCTGAAAAGGCCCAGTGCGGGGGTGTGGAGAAGGGGAGGAGAGAAGTCTTTTGCTAGTCTCACAGATCTGGGGTGTGACTAAGGATGAAGAGCCTGAAATCAGAGCAAAATGTCTTTGCTTCTTTCTGTTTTGGGGGGGAGGGAGGGAGAAAAAAAAAACTTGTCAAGAGACCCCATATCTTGCTTCTGTTTAAATCATTCCAGCTTTCTTGTCACTCTCAAACCAGGAACGCTCTTGATACGGATAGCTGATATCCCTAACAGGTTCTTGAAATGAAAGTGGGGTGGGGACAATGTCTTATCCTCTCACTTCTGCCAGAAGTGACATTTGCATCACACTCCACCAACCTCAAGGCATCAATACTATAGCATGAGCCTTTGGAGTCCTGCTCCCTTCCAGCTCCCATACTTGCCCCCTGTGTGTGTCTTATCTGAGGGCTTGTAAGTCCTTGAGATGGGGATAGAAATTCCTCCAAAAAACAATTTATATTTTTATGTAGTGGAGAATGCAGTCCTCTGGAAGGTAGACAGAGGAAGTGGGTACACAATCCCCTCTGCTGTTTCAAGATATGCAGGGTATTTCCTCTTTGAAGACTGTGCTTGTAAGTGCTACGGCTGAGCTGGGCTGTATACAGGTGCTTCATCCTCTGATTGTGCTCCCAGTACTTCTTGATGGGCCCTGGGGGAAGCGATTTGTTTCATACCCTGGTTTTATCTCTTAAGTCTCCTTTCCTCTACCACCCGGGCAACTCTCAATAGCTGGGCCATGGGGCCTCTGGGTGCTGAACTTATATATCCTGGTCTCCCAGGAGATCCTCCGCATTTCTGAGCTTAGTTTCTGTTGCTAGGAGGTGGGGATTGACAGCATGATTTTGCTAGGATGTAGTCCGCAGGGTTATCGGGCTTCCTTCTGCACCCTCCAGTACCCTCCTGACTGGTGAGAGTTCAGCAGTCCCAGAGGAAAGTGTGACGTGAGCATGCAAATTCTCCCAGTGCAGAGCCCAGAAGGGGACCTGGGACCCCTTTGGATTCTTCCAATGCAGAGCCCAGAAGGGGACCTGGAACCCTTTTGCTTTGGCCGCTTGCCCATTCTTTGGGCCTCTCTGGGTTCTCTGGGAATACTTATTTATCTGGGTGCCCTCTTTTGCCTAGCACAGCAACAAAGGGGTGTCTGGGAATGGCCCCACAGCCATATCCCCTGCTTCTTCACCTTAATGCCAGCACCTGCTGCTCTTGGGAGGTCCCCCTGCATATTCACATATTCCCCCGGACTGAAGCACCTGGAACTCTAGGGGTTTCCTCTGCATCCTACCAACCCCAGCCAGCTCTATGCCACTATGACTTGAGCGAAGATGATGGCTGCAGTCCTGAGGCGCTCCAACATCTTGATAGTGCTCAGGAGTGCTGAGACCTGCAGTAAGTTGCCTTGCTGATGTGTGAAGAAAGAGGCTGGAAGGCATCCCTTTTCCTTGGAGAATGCTGGCATTCTATGTCCCTTCCATAGTCCTGAAGAAGAATGCTTTGTGGGGAGTTAACAATTACTACCCCAGAGCTAGGCTGAACATAAAATATTGGTGAGCTACAGAATGGATATGTGAATTATAAAATGATGGAAAATTAGCTAGACGTCTAGGTTCATAGGATAATGATGCAAAGTCCAACTAGTGGCTGGTTACTATTGAAGTCCCTTAGGGGCTGATACTGTGGCCAGTACTGTTTAATGTCTTTATTAACAACCTGGACAGACAAAATGCACTCTCAACAAGTTTGTGGACTATACCAAATTGGGAGGAGCAGATAGGGCTGCTTTTCAGATCGGCCCTGAAAGTTTAAGAAATGGCTCAACACTAACACCACGAAGTTCAGTAAGGTTTAGAGCAAAGCCCTGGTCCTGAGGTGGAATAACCTAATGCAACAGAACAGGCTGGGGGCTGTTTGTCTAGAAAGCAACTTTGCAGAAAAAGCTTCTGTGAATATGAAGTTAAGAGGAATCACTGAAGAAACCATGCCCTGGGCTGTATTATTAAAAGTGTATCCAGCAGGTTGAGGGAAGTGATTCTTCTCTTCTGTTCAGCACTTGTGAAACCTAATCTGCAGCACTGGGTACAGTTTGGGACTCCCCAGAACATGACAGACATTTGCATACTAGAGTAAGTCCACCAGAGGTGGGTGATGCAGAACAAAACACATGAGGTGAGGCTGAGACAACTGAGTTTGTTCCATCTTAAGAAGAAAAGGCTCAAGTGTGATCTTATTGTGGCTTTCAACTACCTTATGAGAGGGTATATAGAAGACAGAACTAGATTCTTCTTGGAGGTGCACAAAAGACAGGATGAGAAGCAATGGACGTGAGCTACAACAAAGGAAATTTCAATTAGATATTCAGAAAACTTTTTTCACAATGTAGTTAAATATTGGAACAGGGCCCCTGAAATTTTGTTGAATATCTTGCAGTTTTTCAGTGCTCAACTGAACAAAACCTTGAGTACCTGTTCCAGTTTGGTTCTGCCCTGAGTGGGAGCTGGCCCAGAAATCTCCAGAGGTCTCTTCCTAACCATGTTATTCTATGATTTGTGATGATCTAATGATTCTACAAATGATGATGTAGCCAAGTAACTCTTATTTTCTACACTTTTAATTGAAGTCCCACAGAGATTCTTTGCCCTTTTTCCTGCAGCACCTTTTCCTCCTGGTCCACTTACGTATCTCTGTGGTCTTTCACACAGAATCACAGAATCACAGAATCGTTTAGGTTGGAAGGGACCTCTGGAGATCGTCTCGTCCAACCTCCCTGCTCAAGCAGGGTCCTCTAGAGCACATTGCCCAGGATCGCGTCCAGGCAGGTTTTGAATATCTCCAGGGAAGGAGACTCCACCACCTCTCTGGGCAACCTGTTCCAATGCTCTGTCACCCTCACAGTGAAGAAGTTTTTTCTCAGGTTTAGGTGGAACTTCCTGTGGATCAGTTTCTGCCCATTGCCTCTTGTCCTGTCACTGGGCACCACGGAGAAGAGACTGGCCTCATCCTTTGCCTCTTTGCCTCTGTCCTGTGTGTGATAAATCAACATTTATCTTCCACACTCAAGGTTTAATATCAAATATATTCTGAATTCCTCATGACTGAGTCGATCAATTTAGCAGCTGGAAAAAACTAAAGCAAAACAAATAACAAACAAACAAGAAGATGGCTGTGCTAGCCTTAGACCTCCCTGTCCTCTCTGCTAATATTAGTGTATTTCCTTTACTGCACTTTTGACACTGTAACTCTTATCCTCTATATAGGGAGCATAAGGAAACACAGCCAAGCAGCACAGACATAAAAGTCTCCTTTTGCAGGCAGCAACAAGATACTTCTTTGTTACCGTCTGTCTCATTTTAGAATTCTGCCATGCAGTGACAATCACCTCACCATAGGTGTGTAGGTGTACGTCATGGGAGTATCACTGCCTTGCCTTTCATGAGTTGAATAACTTAAGTATAGTGAGCCATGGCTGACAGGACAATATAAACATTGATCCACAGGCCTTGATAAAAGCCATGGATCAACAAGTGGCAGGGGAACAATACTTGTAGCTGCTGGAAAACCTGGGCCGACATCTGTCTATACAACCCACAGTGACAGAGACGGAGTGGTGACCACTGGTACACAGGCACTCTGTAGAAGCAGAGGACCTGAGGTAGAATAATTGTATGTTCATGCTGAGTTGCTAGTAGCTAGTAGCTCCCAGAGTCCACAGTTCCAATCTACCTTGCGCTGATGGATGCTGTGCACCTGTGGTATGAAAACTGTACTCTCAGTGGGCCACAACATCCATAATAGATCAAAAGGCAGGAAGTGACAAAATCCTATGAAGTTTGGGTTATATATTGAATGACTGGATGGTCCAGAAACTCCCTGGCTAGCTTTCTCAGAAGAAACAGTACGAAAAACTTGATACAAGGTGAATACAGAAAAGTTGCTTTCAGAATGGTTAAGGTTACTAGGACCTGATGGTGACTGACTGGCTGGCACGATATTAGCTTTTATTCTAATTGTTTTGTGTGCAATGAGTGGATACACACATGAAAGCTTAATCTCTTTGCCCAATAATGATGTCTAATGCAAGTGAAAGTATGAGTGCGTGTATATATCAAACTAGGTATTTGCCAGATGGTGGCAAGGCAAAGGGGTGGAATGGAAAGGGAGCGTCATAACCTTGCCTTGATCAAGAGCTGAG